AAATCTGAACAAAAGAGAGAAAATAGACTGAAAAATGAACCAAACTTCAGGTACATGTAGAACGATAACAAATGACTCAACAATCATATTGTTAGGGGAAAAGGAAAAGAAAAGAGAGAAGGGTTAAGAGTACTTGAAGAAATAATGTTGAAAAATTTCCATGTATGGCAAAATGTGTAAGTTCAGAGGTTAAACTGAACAAACTCCAAATGGCATAAATGAAGCCACTGTTCACTAATACAAAGAAAAAAAGCCACTTTCCGACAAAGGAAAACTGAAAGAATTTGTTATTACCCAATCTAGCTAAGGGTAGTGATGAAAGATGGAATCTTGAAAACAGGCTAAACTCTTCATGAGTTCTATAAATAATTTTTTATACCTTTTAGAAAAACTAGCATCGACGCACAAAACAAAAACTTAAAAACTGAAGAGACCAAAATGAAAGCAAGGTTTCTTCATGTTATCGAAGTAGTTTTATTTTCAGTGAACAATGGTCAGATGTGTATAATGTAATATTCCACACTAACCTTGAAGAAAACAATAAGGTGAAACACAAGAAGGAACATTATAAATAAAAGAAAATCTTAAAAGAATTTTAATTCACAGAAGACAAAAGAAAAGGAAGCACAGAAAGAAAAAGAAAAAAACAATAAAATGGCAAAATGAAGTTCTAACATATGAATGACTGCCTAAAATACAAATTGGTCTATAGACACCAATTAAAAGGCAGAAACTCACAGAATGGATTTTAAAAGAAAAATTCAAGTTCTGCAACATAGATTGGAACATGAGAAAAAAAATCACAAGAACGTTAATTTTAAAAGATAAGGATGTTTATAGTTATATTGGTTTCAGAGCAAAGAGAATTTTAAAATGTAAAAAAATCTTACAGAATGACAAAGAACCAAGCTACAAAGATCACGATTCTAAATGAGTAAGTACCAAATGACGGAGCCTCAAAAATACAGGATGCAAAGCTCAAGAGAGAGAAAAAGAAACACAAATCCCAGAAAGAGACCAAATTTGCCCAAGTGACATGTGTGAAAAGCAGTTCAACTGAAGAACAGAAACAGTATACTCACAACACATGCAGGATTCTCAAAACTCAGCTATAAAAACACACCTGGTGGTGACCCCAGAGAAATGAAAACTTTTAATGCTATAATACTGGTGTGATAGTTTATTATGCTTTGGAAACAAACAGCACCCCCCCCAACAAACTGAAGGTCTGTGGCAACCCCACATAAAGCACCTCTTTTGATGTCATGTTTCCAATGGCAAGTGCTCACTCCACGTCTCTCTCTAGAGTTTTGGTAATTTTAACAATATTCCTGGATTTTAAAAATTACTAGTGTGGGGCCGGGGATTTAGCTCAGTGACTGCTTGCCTTGCAAGCACAAGGACCAGAGTTCAATTCCCAGTACCAAACAAACAAAAAAGAAAAAAAAACAATTACCATGTGTCTATTATGGTGACCTGTGATCAGTGACTCTTGATGTTACTTTTGCCACAGTTTGGGGGAACCACACGCCATGCCGTCCTAAGACAATGAACTTATTCATCAAAACATATGTGTGCTGTGACTGCTCTACCAGCCAGGCATTCCATGTCTCCTCCCCTCTCTGAAGGCCAACCTATTCCCTGACATACAGTATTGAAATTAGGCCAACTGCGAACCCTACAATGGCCTCTCATGTTCAAATGAAAGCAGAGTCTCATAGCTCTCACTTTAAATAAAAATCAAATGATTAAGCTTAGTGAAGATAATGTTGAAAGTCAAGATAAGCTGAAGGCTAAGCTTCCTATCTAGTTAAACCACGGTGTGACTGCAAAGGAGAAGTTCTGAAGGAAATTAAAAATGCTACTCCAGTGAACACATGAATGATAAGAAAGTTCAAAGTATTACTGCCGACATGGAGGAAGTTTCAGCGGTCTGGACAAAGAACCAAATAGTTACAATATTTTCTTAAGCCAAATCTTAATCCAAAGCAAGGCCTTCATCCACTTCAACTGTCTGAGGACTAAGAGAGTGAGAAGGGTGCAGAAGAAAAGTTTGAAGCTAGCAGAAGCTCTCTTCATAACTTGAAATGCAAGATGAAGCTGCAAATGCTGATGTACAAACTGCAAGTTATCTAGAAGACCTAGCTAAGATTTTCAACTTGGAGAAAACTGCCTCATGCTGTAAGAAGATGCCATCTAGGACTTTCCCAGCAAAAGTAAAGTCAATACCTGGTTTCAAATGATAGGCTGACTCTTGTTAGAGACAAATATAGCTGGTGACTTTAAGTTGAAGCCAATATGCATTTACCATTCCCAAAATTCTAGGGCTTTTAAGAAATATACATCTACTGTGCCTGTGCTTTATAAATGGAACAAAGCCTGGAGGACCACATGTGTATTTACAACATGGTTTTCAGAATATTTTAAATCCATTGTTGAAACATCACTCAGACAGATGACTCTCAAAAGATTACTGCTTAGTGATAATTTACCTAGTCACTCAAGAACTCTGATGCACAGCAAGATTAATGCTGTTTTTATGCCCGCTAATACAACAACCATTCTGCAGCCCATGGATGAAATGCTTTCAGATATCTGCAATTTATAGGAAACCAAAATATCAACCTTAACGGAGTTTAGAAGAGGTTTCCAAACCTAACAGATGACTTTGAGGAGTTCAAGAACTTAATACAGATAAACAAAAAAACAAACCAACCCTGTAAATGTACTGAGAAAAAAAAAGCGAGCTAGAATTTTAAGTGTAGCCTAAAGATTTAACTGTTGCAAACTCATGATGAAATTTTTAATAACTGAAATACTGCTTAATGATGAGCAAAAAAAAAAAAGTGATTTCTTGAGACAGAATATAGTCCTGGTGAAGATGATATGAACACTGTTGACATGACAACAAAGGATTTAGAATACTATCTAATCTTAGTTTCAGAGGATTGACTTCACTTAGATAAAACAGTATCAAACATTACTGCTTCAGAGAAATCCTTTGTGAAAGAAAGAGTCCATCAATGATGCCAATTTCACCACTGTCTTTTTTTTTTTTTGGTACAGGGGATCAAACTTGGGTCCTTGTGCTTGTGAGTCAGGCAGTGGAACCACTGAGCTAAATCCCTGGACCACCACTTGTCTTCTTTTAAGAAACTGTCAGAGCCACGCTTGCCTTGGGCAACAACCACTCTGATCAGTAAGCAGTCAGAGACACGAAATCCTCTACCAACAAAAGGATTAGGATTTTATGAAGGCCCAGAGGATTGGTAATTTTTTTTTTTTTTAGCAAGGATTTTTTTTTTTAACTACGAGAGTAAGTATTTTTAAGCACAGTGCTACTGCACACAATCAACAGTATACAATCTGAACATAACTTTTTAAAATGTACTGGAAAACTCACGTTATTCACTATATTATGATATTTGCTTCACTGCAGGGGCCCAGAAGCAAGCCCATAATATCTCTGAAGTATGTTCATATTCTTTCTTAGTAAGTTTCCTAAAAGTTCTAATTAGGCAGTGGAATACAGCAAAGACATGAAGACTGGAAGGAAAGAAATGGGTCTTAATCTATTGCTTTAAACAGATTGCTGTTTAAACAGGAAACTCTAAAGAATGTATTTTAAAAACACATATTCACTAATAGGTGAATTTAGGAGGAAAACACGATATAAGATCAACATACAGAAATCCATTTTATTTCCAAATATTACCAAAAATCAAACAAAAATGAAATTAATCAAGGCCATGTATAGTAGGATCAAAAACATGAAGTACTCAAATTTTTTCCTAATCAAAATGTGAATGATTTCAACAACTAAAAAATGCAAAACAATGCCGACAAACTAATGAAGATCTAAATGATTCTAGTAATTACGGGGAAATTAAATAACCAAAGCAATCTGGCACAATGAGAGAGGGAGGACTGCCAGCATCTGATGCGATGGCCCAGCTCCATAACGCTGTAGGAATCACCAGTGTGATTTGGGGAAAAGGACAAACAAGTCAGCAAAACAGAAATAGAAAGTCTGGAAGACACACACACCAATTATTTTCAATGGAACTCCAAAAGAAATTCATGAAGACAGAGAAGCTATAAGACTAGGAGAACATATTCATACAAACAGATCAGAAAGTACAAACTAGGGCCAGGGATTTAGCTCAGTGGTGCCACCGCCTGTCTTGAAAGCACAAGGTCCTGAGTTCGATCCCTGGTACCAAAAAAGAGAAGAAAGTATAAACCAAAACATACGTAATAGTAGGGAACTATTACAGCTTGTGACTACATGTCCCCCCAAAGCCTCATGCAGTCAGGGGGGAGCTTGTCCAGAAGTGACTGGATCTAGAGTGTGTGACGGTCGGATTGATTCATGGTGTAATGCTAGATCAAGGGCACTCAGATTAAGGGTGTGCATGCTGCCTACCCTAAATTGCCTGAATAAAATATAAGGGACAGAAAGAGCTAAGGCCCTTGCTTGTTTTGCTACCTTTTGCCCATCAACTGTTTCTCCTCTGTGATGTCTGTCTGCCATGCTACCTGCCTTGGAGCCAGCTAATTATGGACTGAAACCTCTAGACTGTAAGCTAAATAAACCTTTCCCCCTCTCCTTTAACTCTGGGTGTCAGGAATTTTGTCCTAGTAACGAAAAAAATACATAAAACACATACTAGTATAGGAATACTAACTATGAAAGCATCTTCTCATATTATCATCTGGTTTAAATAAAAGCATACATGTCATCAGGAATGAGATAATTCAGAACCCAAATGCAAGAGAAAACATGAGACTTACATAAAACATTTCATTCATGAGATAAATCATGAGAGTAACTCTAAAACTTGATTATATTATAAATACATAGTGTCTAACAGATAACTTTACAGATGAAAAGTCTGTGAGACTGCTCATTTGTGCAGCAGTGCCTAGACACACAGGCTGGAAGCATAAAGCATACACTCCTCTGGAGAATCAAACCTTCCAAGAATTAAGCACCTCACCTAATCACAACAGAGTCCCTGGTATAGCCACCGTCATATTCTGTAGTTTCTTCTAGTGCCTGGAAATCTAGATTCTGAAAATTCAAGAAAATATATCTTAACATCTTCTACACTACATCATAACAAACAACAAATCAGTACTTTCTTTATTCTTTGTAGAGATCTGCTTTCTTACCCGGCTTCCACATATAAGCAATTCAATTTCTTCTGGTCTGAATAAATACTTTAAGGGAGATTCATTAGTCACCATATGAAAACCTCTGCGAAAAGCCTTGAACTGTTTTTCTACTGATTTATTAAGAATGTAGTCAGAATAGAGATTGACAAATTCCTGTAGAAACATTAAACAAAAAAACTTACGCTATATAGATAAAACACAACAAGCTATTGGGCTACATAAGTTTCTTTTTCCAAGAAAAAGGCATTTAAAAATATTTGTAAAAATTAGAATTTTAAAAAATTTGTAAAAATTAGAATTTTACACATGCAAAGGAAAATACTTAAAATTTCATAATTCTCTATGACAGCTAATATTAAGCTATAAAAAGATCATGTCCATAAATTACATGTAAATTTCAATTTGATAGTGTATTAAAAAGGTCTAAATATAAAAGGTGGGGCCTTCATACAATGTTTTAGTCTTCAAGTATGCAAACACAGAAATAAGCCATGTATACACAAAAAATATATGCATGCACAAGTCAAACTGAGGGCTGGGGATACAGTGCTTGCTTAGCATGTGCAAGGCCCCAGGTTCAATCCCCGGTACTGTCAAAAACACACACACCCACCAGTGCTTGAACTCGGGACCTTGCGCTTGCAAGGCAGGCAGTAGAACCACTGAGCTAAATCCCCAGCCCCCACAAAACATTTTTTTTAAGTCAGTTTTACTAGAGTGCAATGTAGCAGACTGGAGCAAACCACAAATCCTCATGTTCGCTAGTATAAAGTATGTGGCAAGCTGCCTACTGTATCCAATTCAGCAAAAATGCTAGGGTTTTGACAAATTAAATAAGCTACTTCAACAAATCTTAAGATGGAAGTGTACTTTGCATCCTTAGTGTGTGACATTTTATCAAAAAATTATATTGATGTAATACATCTCTTAAAGGTATAATACATACTTATTATAACTTCCCTGTTTTGCTCTGGGTTATTCCTTACTTGTAGATGAACATTTTTTAATTGTTCTGAGGTAAAGAGCGCCTTTCTGAAGTATATAGGAAATACATGTGTGCATGCGATACAATTCTTGTTTGTTCTGTGATGATGGCCTTGATCACACGATCCTGATTCCTCGTAAGGTCTAACTGGGAAGGCTGTTTCCCACTTTATACTGGTATAAAGAGTTGGCTTCATTCTTTCCCACTCAATGCCCTCTTTCTTCAAAATGGGTTCATTACACCCAACTCTGTGCTACCATACCAGCTCATATTTAAGATTTTTAAAAATCCAATTCACATGAATTGAATTACAGATAGTCCTTGTTTAATGACCCACCTGGTTAATATAAAGATTGTTAGGACTTAACAACTTGTCTTTTCTTTGTATAGTATTTACATCTTGTTTATAGAGCCTCAATAAACAGCACACTTTGTTTATGTGGCACTGTAGTTTTTCTGACTGTACTGTACATTACTGTAGTTTTATCTTCTGTTATGCATTATAGTAGTACTGCATGTAAAGGTTAGGCAAATAGAGCCATGTGGCACTCAGGAGGCTGAGGCAGGAGGACCGCCACAAGTTCAAAAAAAAAAAAAGTTATGCAAATAAAAGTAAAGACATGAAGTTGGAGTTTCCTACCATCATTTGTTTTTAATATTATAATGTACATAATATGTACAATTCCTTATTTAGCAACTAATTCATTTTAACAATCTAGTCCCATGACCATGACTCAGTTGTTAAACAAGGAATTCTGTAGTTGGTTTCTTTGTTCTTGGTTCAAATTACATTAGGTATGTCTTTGAACATGATAAGCAAACATTATTAATAAACAAAAAGCATTACCTTCCTATTTTCGTTTGTAATTGGAATTTTATCACCATTTTCCTTTAGATCATACATCATTGGGTTACCGAAAAGATCTGTCTGTGATATCTGGAAAGTGATCATCATGTCATCTTCCACATTCCCTTCATATTCTAGCAAGTCTTTTAAACTCTGATGTAAAACCTAACAACCAGAAATGGAAATGTGAGGCTACCTAGAACTCCAAAACACAGCAGCAAATAGTATGTACCACTCTTCAGAGAAACACAAAAACTTAATCGTGTCAGTAAGAATTAAACCACAGACAATATCCATCCCTCTGGGTTAGAAAAGACTGCGGGTCACAGGTGATGACTCCTTCTTGGCTGAGAAACTTCACACCATCAATTTAGCAGACTTCACACGGTGCTCTATGAGAACCTGCTATCGCAAGGTAGGGGAGCAGGACAGAGGGGAAGAGATGCACTCACTGCAATTACCAATCCCTTTAGGCAGGGCAGCTCTGACTGCAACTGGCAGAGTCACCAAGTGGCATTCACACGTTTCCACTGGCTTGAACCACCAGTGGTACATGCATGACTGTCCCATTCGGCAGCTTGTGCCAGAGATAGGACTCTCCCACACTGCCCGATGGGACAGCATGCATGTACCACTGGTGGTTCAAGCCAGGAGGAAGGTAGCATATTCAAAGCAGAGCCACTGAGCTGCAAGAAACATGAATTATGGCCTCATTGTGCGAGTGCTAAAACCAAATGTCTAAAAACATTTCTTCATTATATCAGCCTTTAAAAGCTACTTGCAGACAGCAGATCACATAACACTTTCCTCCCTTGAGTTCTTACATGTTTGTAGTACTTAAATCAAACTAAAATTCCTTTACTTTTACTGCGTGTATTTATCAGTGGACTCCAAACAAAAATTTTAAAATTTATATACATCAAACTGTATTTATGCATATAAATAAAATATGACAACTTACTGGGTGGGAGTCTCCCAAGTCACGAAAAGTTCCTTTTTTCCCCATTAGCTTCCTGTATACAACCATGGGGAAATGAACATCCAGGATACAGTTATTGTAAATAGCCAGGCCCAGTACTATGCCAATGAGAGTAAACTGGCCCTCAGTTTCAAAAGAAGATGGATTAAACCAAAATAACTTTGTAGATTCATCGTATGTGAACATACCTACAAGAAATAATTTTTTAAAATGCATTACTTTTCTATTTTATGAAAAATGGATGAACAATATAGGTGTAATTATGAAATAATTATGCATGTGAAACTTAAACACAGTAGGTATGTAAAAACTTTTTCTTATAAAAATTCTTTCCATTACATTTGCACTTAAGAAAATATCCAAATATAGTAATGTGGCAAATGTCTTTTAGGAAGCCAAGGAAACAAAATAAGCAATCTTAATAATAAGTAACATTTCTAGAACAGTAGAAAAGTATTTCATTAAATTCAATTTCATTAAATTAAATTCCTAATGTACTAACACATGAAAGGTTACTTTCTATCGGATTTTACCCCAAAATGGCTAAAAAATGCAAAAAAGTCATGATTCCCAAAACATAAGAGATAAAACTGACAAAGCTATATAACACACACATTGTGTATATAAAAAGGTAGTTTTGTAGTCTTTCAGATTCATATAGCCTTCACTATTCAAAAACCAAACTTAAACACATTTTTAGTATTATTCTTTAGAAAACAAGTATCTTTAGTTTTATCTATCTGAATAAGCATTACTACTCAATTATTTTCTTCCTTTTTAAATATGTCTAAGAATGTTAAATATTTAACTAAATTAACATTTTTTCATTTTCTACATATTCTTTAGTTACTACTGTGAAAGTGAAGTATTTAAAAAATTAGGTCTATAAAAATTGGCAATTTTCAATAGAACTTTTAAATCAAATAATGTACTTCATGTAATGTACTTCATGTTTTTAAAGCAGTCTATTTAAAAACTTAAACTCTAAAATGTTCCATTTTCACTTTTACTTTAAGTTGAAAATAAATTTTGAAATGTGCCCTTGATCACTAAGAGCATAAATTATGCTTAAAATATTTTCCTAATGCAATTTAATGAAATAATGATTTCAAAGTTATCCAATTTAAACTTGAGTTTCACAGTTTAGATTTATTTTCTTTCTTTGGTACCGGGGATTGAACTCAGGACCTTGTGCTTGCAAGGCAGCAGCAGAATCACTGAGCTAAATCCCCGGCCCTAGATCTATTTTCTTAATAAACCACGTTACCACATTCATGAAATGCTAAAAACTTCAGCTTAAAAGCAATGAATATGGACCAGGGATTTAGCTCAGTGGTGCTGTCACTTGCCTTGCAAGCTCAAGGACTCAAGTTTGATCCCCAGAATCAAAAAAGAAAAAAAAAAAAGCAATGAATCTGATGAACTGTCACAAATGTATGCCCTTAGGTCCCAAGAACAATAAACTATAGATTAATTAAAGTATAAATCACACAGGCCACTGCTCTCTTCTCCATCTACGGAAGATGGTAATGTTGAAGTCCAAGAAGATCCCAAAGCACCATACAAGATGCCTACTGTGAAATATTCCATCTTGATATACTGATGCCACCTTTTCAACCACCTTGACAGAGCTGCTTAACCTAAGTCTCTTTAAAAAAATTTCTCTGTACATAATGTATGCATGGTTTATACCTAATGTTCAACAGTTCTAGCTGTATCAGAAGATACAGCCAAGGTTTACCAAACTTACAAAAGTTATACATTCCTCATCCAGTTAATAAACTAATTTTGAATCTCAAAAAGGGCCTGGTTTTGTGTGGCTCTAGATTACTGTGAACAAATTACATACAAATGGCACAGACTTCTGATAACAAACAGTATGTAGAATACAGACAGGTTGGTCTTACCCGCACTATATATTTATGTTTTGGCCCTAAGTAGATAGGAATAACACACATATGGCACATGCACACATGTGCACCCACATGTATGACTAAGAACAATAACAAGGCTCAATGTGCACACAGAACTTAAAATCTGTAACAGCTCAATTCTCAAAGCTTAGGGAAAATAATGTCCAGTATTCTAAGCTACATTTCTCACGATTCTGATGGTTCTTTTAGTGAAAATCTTTTCCTGTACTTTTCCTCACCTAAATGCAAGTCCAATAAGCAGTCATAGTGTAGAAGTAATTATCCACTTACGGAGACTACCCAAAAGGCTATGTCCATCCCCTATTCTACTTTGCCTCCACATGAGATAAAAATCTTTTGTGCTCAACACAAGAGATAAAAATCAGACTGTGACCCTGAACTTTCTGACTGACCTATATAATCTGCCTTTCCCAAATTGTGTTCACATGGAAACTATTTTAGGGTGCAAATATTGCTCAATGTGGAATGGAAAAGAGTTCTGGAGTGGTTTGGAGAAAACATTACAGTAACATTAAGTCATAAAAATTTATTTATTTTAGGCAATGCCGGGGCTCCACCACTAAGCTGATTGAACTTCCCAAGAAGTTCTATCAAACAGAACTAATTAACCTGGTATGAGTTAGTGTTTCTCAACTCTTAAGACAATACACTCGAGAGACATCCTCTCAGGAAATGCTCTTCACACCACTCTAAGTTCAGAAATACTGTATTTGGTGACTGTTTTAGACTGCAAAAAGGAAATAAATCACTCAAATTTTTCTAAATATAACATTCTAAGGCGTTTACATTAAATTTTTTTGTTTGTTTTCTGTACCAGGAATTGAACTCAGGGCCTTGTGCTTGCCAGGCAGACAATGAGCTGTTGAGCTACATCTCTAGCCCTCCATTAAATTTTAGACTATTTGACTAAGTAACTGAAATAAAAATTTGAGTAAATGAATGATATGGATCAGTTCCAAAAGCATAAACTAATTTAGTCCATACTAAAATCTTCTTTTGCTGCTTTTCATACCTGAGAATATTTACAAAGCAAACGAATTCTTAACTCAAGCTATCGATATGATACCATAATCATCTTACTAAAATATTTACCAATATCTGGATTGAAGATTTCCTCCACAACCAACTGAAAAAATTCTTTGGAAACACCACCCTCATCGACTCCTTGTTCTCCTTCAAATTCCACATACAACTGTTTTTTCAAGTCTGCGGGATTTTCCATAGCAATCATCTCTAGCTATGATTGAAAAGATAAATATAAAAAGATTACTGTTGGTATCAGGATAAAAGGAAAATAAAGTAGAAGAAACAAGTAAAAAGGAGCAGGGCAAGGGAAAACACAGAAGATCTTGACTTTTTCTTTTAAAATAGATATAGGACACACACTGATTTTTTTAAAGGCCTATAAATACAAATCCAGTCTCACAGAAATGGAAAAACATGACAGAAACGAAACAAAGAATAAAAGGTTATTTCTAACTTTACTGATTTATTACGGAATTTCTATATAGTAGAAAATTAGATTTTCTGTTTCTTATATACAACAAATAGGGGCTTCACAGGAAGTAGAATAAAGACAGCAAGGTGCTTGTGTGACTACTGACACTACATCGTTTCAGCGAAAAAAATGGAGTACACAAGGTTGACTGTTCACTACTGGTCCTTTAGGTTTGTTGGAATTTATTAACCATTAAGTCTTTAAGATAATTTAAACTGAGAAAAACGTACTGGATAAACAGCAAAACAGTGCATGCTCTCTGTATAAACTGCATTTTTGTAATGCATCAGAATGCATCTCATACCCATTTCATGAATGCAGGGGGAAAATGCCCTGTCACTTAACAACTGTTAACCAACTCTTTCTTGAACTATAAATATTCTACCAAATACTTTATCTCTACAATGTACTCAGTGACTAAACAGTCATTAAGATTAATCAATATGATTCTAACGTGAAATATTTACACTGTAAATGGTTTTAACTAAAATTTGATAACAGTATTCTATCTTATTTGATAAATTATGTCCATATATGTCTGTTGGTTATTTAAAAGAAAAGTCCACTCTTCAAGGTACAAATCTCACTAAACAGTAAAGATGTTCTTGTTATTCTACTGCAAATGTAGTTTTAAAAATGATTTTGAACAATACAAAATCATTGAAATAGGTATATTATTTAGTCCAAAAGTAATCAGTTTAGGCAACAGTCTAGTGTCCATAAAAAAGAAAAGAAAATCTCATAAACAAATACATCAGGTTGTTACTTAGAGCTATGTTTTTCAAACTGTTTACTGCAACTTGTTAGTGGGAAGTCTATTTCATTTGGTAGACTGTAACCAAGAGGGAAAAAATAATTGTATTCTAATAACAATGGAACTTAATGTTTTGTAAAACTTTGGTTTCAATTAGTGTACAGATGAATATGCATTGTGTCGTGTATTACTAAGGGATGCACTTGAGAAAAGTTAGAAAAAACTGACTAAAATTGTATCCTGGATATCAACTCTAGGTTTCATGAGTTTGTGAATTCAGTCTTTAAAGATTTTTTTTTTTTTTTTTTGGTACTGGGGATTGAACTCAGGACCTTGTCCTTGCACAAGGCAGGTGGTGGAATCACTGAGGTAAATTCCTGGCCCAAGAATGTCTTGTCTTCAACAGTGGTCTCCAACAATTATAAAATAATTTTTAGGATAATGTGTATTAAAATAATCTATTTTTGAGACAGCATTTTACTGTGGAAAGAGAGATTAAGAATCAGAATACGCCTTACTAGTTTCATGTGTCAATTAATATAACTTTTAGCCTTCATTCTGTTTTCCCAGCGCTTCAAAGATGCTAGACAATTACTGTACCAATGAGCTACAGTCCAATTTTTAATCTTTACACGTTAGAAAGTAACTCAATTAAATCTCATCCTCACGTGCAAAGAAAAAAAAAACTGCAAGATTGTGAAGACTTAATACAAATGCAGATGTGAAAATTACCTTGGTTTACAAATCATTCTTGGGCTGGGGCTATAGCTCAGCGTGTGTGATGTCTGGGTTCAATATCTAGCACTGCCCCTGCCCCTCCACGGTTCCAGCCGGTAACACGTCACAAGCCAAGGCCTAAGGTTACAATTATCATCTCTGCTCAAATGTGGTAGTAGGCTAATGCTGCATATTGCTATGCAACCCACTCCTAGTTCTCCACTGGCTAAGTGTTAAAGGATGTAAGTCAAAATTTCTCTTTGCCTTCCCATTAAAGTCAAATGTGTTTACATTAAGTATGGTAAGTTTGTCTATGAAAAACAGAATACCTGACAGATGATACCTTCTAAAGCTTTTCTCATTAAAGCTAGTAAGTGAGAGCTGGCTCTTCAACGTGAACCTTTCAAGCGATTTGGTGGAGTTTCTATAGGAATCAGAGGCCCTGTATCCTAGTTTTATCTCCACCTAAGACATGGCATATGACAGCTAAGGTAAACTTGTCTTCATTCGTAAGATATCACATGTACAGTTCCACCAATTGCTTCTGTGTTCCTACCTTGGGTACCAAAAGAACTTAGTAAATCATGATTTTCACTGTAAATAAAAAACTTCACCTCTTTTCCTTAGTTTCATCTATAAAATAAGCAATACTACTGAATAGTATTAATATGTGATGTGCTTAGATGAATTCCCTGCACAGTCAGTGCTTATAAATTTGTTATTATTACTCTATTGGTTCTAAAACTTTGCCAGGGTTGTCTGAAAATTTAACCTCTATGGTATCAAACAAAAATATTATCAGAATAACAACAACAAATGTTCTTGTAAAATAAACAACTTCTGAAGCACTTGAAACAGCACCTCTTCATTTCCACAACAACTTTACCAGGCAAGTAATATTACTGACCATTTTATAAATAGGAGCTGTGTAGTAATGAAAGGTTAAACAACTTGCTGAAATCACAGTTAAGTCAGAGAAGAGACTAACAATGAAAGCAAGCTCTCGATTCCTGTGGTTCACCGACTCTTCACCAATGACTGGTAATAGTCTAGTTTTGGAAAGTGAGTGACTTCTATTTTCTTTACTCTTTTTAATCTTTCAGTTTTCCCCAATGACTATATATATTAACTTTAGAATCAGGATCCATTAAAATATAAACACTATTTAAAAGAAAAACTTAAAAAGTAGTTGCACCTGAATTCTGGGAGGTTGAGTTGCCCAGGTCACACAATGTCCAGTGCACTCATGCTCTTAAACACCCTCAGGTATTGTGCTTCCTTATGGGATCCCAACTGTGGGTCACTTGTTATGGCCAACACTTGCTTTTCCATGAAAGACTCTCAATGGTCACTGGGCACTGTGCTCTCCCTGACTCCACCAGCAATGTATTTCCATTGTTTGCATCTTTCCAGTGCCTCCTGGAATTGTAAAAATTCCAGTAAAAATTTCCAATTATCATCTATTTTAGAGCACTATTATCAGATGAACATGATTCTTTCAAATATTGTATCATTTAAAGATACATGGGTAGCCTATCATTTTTAAAATGGTAATATATAATACACAGACATGAACTTTTAGATGTAGGTATTTAAGCAGAGTATATATTCTGCATCTAATTTAATAGAGACCACTGGAGAAAAACAAAGATAAGACTGGATGCAATGAGAACTGTTTCTTATATGACATGACTTCTTACTAAACTCTAAATTTCACAATTACTGGATTAAATGATTTTTAATTCCTGAAGTTTTAATTAGCTATCAGACAAAACCCTATGGAGTTATTCTTTTTTTTAAATGACCTGATAAAAAAAGTATTCCCAGAACTCCTAAGGTAAGATGTCATCTCAATATAAAAATATCATCAGATTTATAAAGGCTGATGGTCACATTTTACCAAATTACATTTGTCAGAGAATGCTTTATTGCAAGGTTTTATAATATGGATAGTAATAGGTATCTCTGTAATTGCTCAGTTTTTCAAGTAAAATTTAATTATCAACTAAAATCAGTCAACCTTCTACACTAACAATGATAAGAACCCACAACACAGATAACTAGGGAAGAGTGATATTTATTTTTAAAATATATTTTGGTATTGGAATGGGTTTGTAAAGACACTGAGAACTACTAAAACTATAAACCATTGAGTAAAGTTGTTTGCCATCTCCAAGTTAAACATTAAAGATTTTGTGCCTTTCTATGTTCCTAGTCTTTTTTTAAATGTCAAATATGATGAAGAAAGGTTCTGCATTAATAAGAAATTAAAGCAGTTTTTTTGCAGAAAGAGGAGTTTTAACTGACTGAACTATCATTGTTGGCTTTCTGGTGCCCTGTTTAATTATACTTATGTAACTCTGGGCCATGTGAATAATTAATACCTTTAAGGACTGATCATCTGGCCCCCACCAACTTACTTGCCATAACTTCACAGAATGGCAGGGTATAAGTACGTAAGTGAATAAAGCGCTTCTGGTCTATCTGTGCATGTCCACCCTTAACAGCAGGGATTCAAATGCCAAACCTACTTGTGGTGAGATGCCTTCAGCTGTCTATACTGGACTTTAAGAAGAATGACTACGGAGCTTACCAAAAAGTTTCTCATTTCTACTTCTAGAACTGTCCCTACAAAAACTTCAGGGAGAAAAACTACCAAAACCATGTATCATACAAGGACATTTTGAGAGGTTTAGCAGGACTCCAAAATCTTACTGACATACATGTACCCACCTGCTCTGCTTACCTCATCAAGTTCACAATAAAACAATTTGAATTCTGCGTCATGGAGTTTTGTGGACACTACTGAATTAAAACTTTATGACGAAGATTTACTGTGCCACTCCTCCTTAGACCTCACATCCAACACTCACTATCAGGTACTTCCACATCTCCCTTGTTCCTGAGTTCCACTTCTCTGCTCAATGGGAGAAACTTGTGGGGCAGCTTTTCAAGATTTAGAAAACCCACTGTTTCAGACAGAGTACAGATAAGTCAACCAGTGCTTTGTAGAACACATTTATAAACTTGGTCAGGAACAACAAAAGCAAAATACTTGTATTTAAGATAAAAAATGTCCACATGTTCCTTGGCTATGTGACACTTATTTTCCCCTAACAATCACCTTTTAAAAGGAATTCGCTACTGTTTCTCAATACCCCTCCCCCCACTGGGTTTTTAATTTAGTGCTGATTTTAAACCGTAGCCTAACTTACCCGGACAAGTGCATCATCTATGATATGGTCACGCCTGACTTTGAGTCTCAAATATGGATTCAACTGCTGTCCTTGAACTAGACTGTAGAGAACAGTGATTCTTCGTTCACTGTACATGCGAATTCTATTGTCATAATATAATCCCAAATTTTTTGTGACGGCATTCAATATGAAGGGACAAGTCATAAAAGAAAATTTGTTCTCTGTTTCTACTTTGAAAAAAGTATAATCTTTATCCATTTCTAGAACATCATTCAGTGGTTCGTTAATGAACTCCTCAAAAGAGATAAGTGGTTTTCGACAGTCTAGAGTTTTAACACCAAGTTCAGTTTCCAGGGGGTCCACTCGAGGACCTTTCTTGTTTCTTCTTTCCTCTCCCAAAAGCTCTTGCAGTGTCAATTCGCTGGACTCGGGGATGGGCTCTTCGTCATCCTCCTCATTGTGATTTGTGTCCACTTCCCCTCCCACAACATTTGCATAGTAAACCATTTTTAAGCACTTTGAAGCAGCAACAATGGCATCATCATCATTCACTAGATTCCGACTGTTAAATTCATTGCTTATGACTTTGTAAGTAATAAGTTGCTGAAACGTTTCCATCATTCTCCGAATCTGGTCTGCACTGTATTTAGACCACAGTCTAATCAGTTTTCCTTGGGCTGCCAGGGGTAACTTGCTCATTGCTTTACAAAACAACGGCAATGCCATTTCCAGATATTCAGGACTGTGGAGATTCCTATTCTCCATTACAATAATGAACAAATTCAGGTAATTAGGATCACGAGAGTACACATTGTGATAGGTCAAGTCACATTCTACATTAGGTGACAAATATACAAGTGCATTAAGAAAGGCAGTTTCTATCTTTTCATTAGAGAGCAATCTGGTATAGACTCTTCTAATAGCATCAATATCTACAGATACGTCATCGGGACCTAACTTTTGTAAGTTGTTGTCTCCCTGTGAGCTATCACCTATCCTGGAGGAAGATGCTTCTGAATCTTCTTCCATAGCAGCAGCAGAACATGCAGCTTTTTCCTTTTCATCTTCATCCTTGTCTTCATCCTTTCCTTGAAGAGATTTCAGCTCTTCCTTGGTGTGTTGTTTGACCTTCCGAAAGCTCTGTACCAATGCCTCAGCACTAGAAAAAACTCTTCCGATAACACGGATTAAAGGGGAATAATCCTCTCTCTCTCTACAAATTTCAAGAATTTCATACACCAGCTCTTCAGTAAGATAAGTCACATCTAGAAAATTAGAAGGAAAGACATATTTATTTTCATAGACGTATTTATTTTCATAGTTTCTACATGCTTACTGTTGTATTTACATACTAGTGAAAAGTAAAATGACCCAAAATTTACTCAGTTATCATTTGAAAATTAAAATTCCATTACAAAAGTATGTAACACTTTTTAAATAATTCAGCCATCAAAATACTATGCTTGCTTGCTTTCTTTTTGGTACCAGGGATAGAACTCAGGACGACCTTGTGCTTGGGAGGCAGGCACAGTGCCACTGAGCTAAATCCCTGGCCCTAAATGCTTTCTTTTACCAACTAACTATTAATACCAACAACCTTACCCTTCTTTTACATTCCTTCAATAATACACTGCTACTAGAGGTCATAATAGTTCCAATTTCCCTCTACAATCAAGGTGACTATCAGTAGCTTTTATTTTAAATATGAACCAGTCTTCTGCGCTTTCATCACAATACCCTATTACAACCTTGTTGTAGAGAAGAAACACTATTCTTCTGAAAAGTTTTACCTGGTTCTATTCTCAAAAGACTGAGACAAGATTTTAACAAAAATTCCTTCAGCACCATTTTTTAGAAGCAGCACTTTCTTTCTGTATTAAAAACAAATTGGTTTATGAGAAGAATACAACAATTCTCATAAACTCTGAAGTTAAAACTGCTATCTATAACCACGGATTAGAACACTCTTAGCAGAGTGACTGGAAATAATCTGGGGCAATTAAAAGCAAACTGGGCTGGGCTGGGCTGGGCTGGGCTGGGCTGGTGATGTAGCTCAAGGGCAGAGTGCTTGCTCGCCTGGCATGTGTGAAGCCCTGGACTTGGTCCCCAGCAATCAGGGTGTGGCATGACAAAACCAACAGTGGGAAGAAGTAGAACACAGACTACATGATCAACAAAATCTATTTCCTCTTCTTCCTAGGCAGAGTTGGGTGATTATTTACCAGTTGTTTGAGACGTGTTACTTTCAGGCCAAGGCTTTCCCTTTTCTGCCAACGCAATGAAAGATACTTTATTTTATAGGGGAGGGAAAAGATATATTGTGTACATCAAAATTCTGCAACTAGTGAAACAATACTGAAAAATTTTAATAATACTGAAAACAGTCAATCATAGATTTGCATCATTAGACTAAATACTTGAAGTATAGGACAATTTTAGAGTTATATCATTCCTACCTTTCTCATGCCAAACATACCCTTAAACATATACCAGACACAATGCAAAAAGAGCTCACATGACCTTGTCCTTGCTTTAATGTACTTCCTCCACAGTAAGACAATATAAAATGCAAGCAATTACTGGAGGAATGTCCTCCAAAAGCTAAATCCCAGAAAACCAAGTTTCATTACATCACAGACCTGATTTCTGACTAAGCTACAAGCGTGTCCATACCTGTAATTTTTTTTAATGGGTTCTACCCTTTCAAGAACTAATTCTCAGGTGTGTTCTAATACGAATATACAGATGTCTTTTATGAAACATCAGTAATCTCTTCCTAAAAGGTATAAAGCCACTCACCAGGAATCTATTTCTCATTACTCTAATAGGAAAATATTATAGTACCATAAGACAACACAAAGCTCCCAATGAACTTCCTAAACTATAACCAAAACACAGAAAACACCTACTATAAATATCTTGTTAGGACATAAAACACTGCATCCTAATCATCAAATCTTAAGATTTTAATAAAGACTTGCTTTGTCTACAGTAATAGGGTCTGTCTGAGGGAGAGCAACATTACAGACCTATATAACTTCTGGTGACATTTCATGCATTCAGAATACCTTCATCAAGTGATTCTGACATTCTACTACTCCTACCTAGAATATGCCAATATTTTTCCACATATCATGTTTTAAAATGTTAGACTGAGTTTGTATATATAAATAAGAAATATTATAATAAAACATTCTGTTTCTCCTTAGTGTTCTGCTGAAAATTAAATGTTTTAAATAACCAGCATATTATTAACCAGTATGTTTTTTTTAATTTTGCACTTTAAAAATCTCATGCAAAACTAAGTTAGGGGAAGCTAATGCCTACTCAATTTTGTAACTGGAGATAACAATAATCAGAATAAAAGTACTAGTATAATTAAATCACCTATTAATTCTACTAGAAAAATACCATATTAAATATAGTACATTGGGGGAAAAAGTGGTGGGCCTCACTGTAGCCTACTGCAAGAAAGGAGTAAGGAAAGGGTGGAGTTGATAAATCATGTAGACTTCTGCAGAAGGCAAGGGGTGTAAGGTCTGGGAAGAACCACACAATGAGCAGCTCTAAGAATGATCACATGGCCCCAAACATGATGAATACATCCATAATGTACAGTATATCCCCAAGGTTGGATGTGTTTAACTACAGTTATACATTCTACTTTATCTACTTTGACTCTGTGATACACACTTGCTGGGAAAACATGTACAGTGGAGTCAATGCAACTCTCTCACACAAACACACACGGACAGACAACATTCACCTACTTTCTACAGTATGTGATCTAATTCATGAAACAGAAATAACTACACAGTTTGAGTAACAACGCTAAGTTACAAATGCTGCTGTATTGTGGAAATAGGAGACAGCACAACTCCATGCCACTAATTCATTTAAACTTATTTCAAATGATGTTACAAAAATATTTACAGACATTCTCTAATTTACATGTTTCATAAATGAAAAGCTTTCTCTTTTAAATACAACTGCCTCTGTGATGGGGCTAAGCCCTGCCAGTCTTTCATAGCTTCTATACCTCATAACTATGAACACTTAATTACCTTCACGGAGGGAAAGTAAACTTGAAGGTTAGTATGGCAGGAGAAAGTTTTAAGGAATTTTAGAATATAGTGCTATTTATAAAAAACGAAAAGCTTTAGTGAAGATTGCCACTGGCAGATCATGATCCTTGGCAGCAAACACCAAATGCCTGGAGAAGCAGGCAGGATATGGGAAGAAATTATTAGGAAAAAAAAGCAGATTTCTCAGGTAATTATTACAAAAGTTTGCCTTGCCTTCTGATATGGAAAAAACTATTGCCTAGTCTTGTTTGCTCCTTTCACTACACAGTCTTGGGGTTCCAGAGCTCACAACAAATACTTAGTCCAGTCATATAATAATTTAAACAGTCTTGGGGCCTAGTTTAGGAGATTAACTTTAATTTAGTACAATTTTCCTAGTGAAAAAAATATAAAAATTGTAATCAATTCATTTACAAATGAACTTCTGGGTTATAATCTGCTTCTAATTAGCAACCACTAAATCTGTGGAAGGTAGTTAAAGCAAAACAACAAAACCTCACACACTTTAATCTCTAATATGGTTTTAATCAACAATTGTCAATTAAAAATGAAGAAGCTTACCTTTAAAATCAATTCTAGCTCCTTTTCCATCCTTCTTGTTCATTTTTATCTCAGAGTTGTTAGGGGCACCTTTCGAGTTCTCAAGGTAAGCTGAGCTTGCTCCTTTCTTGGAGGGATGAGGATCACAGAGTTTTGCATTAATCTTATAAAGCTCGAGGGCTTTAATAGCTGCTGCATTGTTATCCATACGAAGAAAAGATGGACAGGAAGCACAAAACTCATTCGTGCAGGCCTCATTTCCACAACCCTCAGTTAACTGATGGTAGTAGCGTTCTATTAGATGCTTTGCAGCTGCTCGCTTCCTGTACCAAACATTCAAACAATAAGCACGATTAGTACAGCTCAGGAACAAAGCTCAACAGATCACCAATGCAAAAGTTAGTCAAGCACCGGAGTAATAAAGTTGCATATCAAGATGAGATGTAAAAAAATGGAAATCCACTATCCATAACTTTGAGCTAGGGAAATATTTTATATCATCTAAGAAACTAAGATAATGACTGTCAATGCTAACAAAAGTACCCTTCTAATATAGTATGCTTTTCTTTGTTTAAAAGGGGGTAAAGGGTTGGTGTGGTAAGTGTATATGCTTAAACTGTGTAGCATAACAGCTGAAAGTTCACAAGGGTTATAGATAAGTTGTCATTTTATCATTTTAAATATCAACATTGAGAAAACGAAAGTCTGCTTAAAGCATCAATCTAGATTTCCTTCAGAATCACCACTTTAACTGCTCGTAAATATGTGATTTGTAGATAACACAAAATTTCTATCCGGACTGAAAAAATACTTTTCTCAATCACATGAAAGATTCAGAAGGAACTTTACAAAGGAAATACAAGTATAAGAAAAGTGACTAAAAAGTATATAGTCATGAATCCAAAATTTGTCACTAAATCTCTTCATTAATTTATTTAGGAACACTGCATACTTTAAGTTCCATTAGAGTAAAAATCTTATATTCGCCTTATATTGTAAAATTAAATGAAATGTATCAATGCTTTATTACGGCTGTTCTAGCAGAGCAACCAAAAATACTGAAGACGGGAATACTGAAGACAGTAATACCGAAGAAGCTAGACTATATAATCTACCTTTGCCGTTTATTCAACCCTAACGTTTTATGCTTCTACTAACTGATGGTATGAAATTACCATAGGTGATGCAGAACAGTGCACTGGATCCAAAGAAACATAATTCATAGCTTTCCTTTGGGTTCCAAATTCAAAATGATGGGAAAACTATGAAAAATTAAAACTATAGGAAAAAAGATTCACCATATTTCTCAAAACATTCCTACAATTATCTTACCAACGTGCAGACTAAGTGACTACTGGCATTCGTGCTGACATCTTGTTAATCATGAGAGATTCAGAAGGTAGCAAACAAGCAGGTAAGGGACATTAGTAAGATCAATTTTGTCTTAAAAACTAGGAGTCTGATTCTAAACTACCAAGGCAAAGGACAAAAGACTGATATCTCAAACACATCTAATTCATTCTAGTGCCTATATTTTCTAAATATCCCATGCAAATTTACCACATATGCCATGCAAATAGAGAAAAAGACGCACTGTAAATTACACGAACACGACTTAAGATACCTACTAAATGTAGCTATAATCAATCCCATTTATGAACATTAAATATTACTATTCCAGATACACTATGTAAAATATGAAACATGTAAAAAATAAGAGTTAAATATAGATTCTAGAACTTAAAATATACTGTACATGCTGTTTTTTAGTAAGGATATATATACTTATCAAACTGTAGATTTCCCTATGAAGAACATAAATAGGTACACAATTCCTTTCTAGAAACTATGAACTTGTATCAAAAGTCTTTAAAATATTAATATCATACAAATTAGAAAGCCAGCTTATGGAAAACAGTTGAACAATTTTATAAAAATGCATTGTTTTCTATATCTGAGGGGAGAAATCAGCCGGCCCAATACTAGAGGTTTACCTGAATGAACACAACAGAGCTCGCAGTGAAATAAACAATTAGCAAAACCTGAAATGTGGCAAAAGTCTTCCTGCTGTAGTTACAAATCTGTAGATGTAGGATGAACTTTTTCTTTCAAAGGGCCAATAGTCATTTTTGTCTGGCTGATATGACTGAATGAGTTTTTTAATTTAATTCTTAATATGACTGAATGAGTTTTTCTACCTTTTTGCTTCCAATATATATTTTCTATAATACACATGCTATTTGTATCTTAAAATGAGTAAGTGTGAATGAGGAGAATGTTAGCAAGTTCAATTTTCATATACATAACAAGAGGACCAAAGTATCCATATGACTTTTTTAAAGCTTACAGAATTCAAAATACCAAGATATCCTAGCCATTTTTCATAATAAAAATGTCAGGTTTTGTGCTATAATAAGCCAAAAAACCTGCTATGTAAATAATGCCTCTTATATACTGAATAAAGCAGTGTGAACAGTGAAAATAGCACATAATGAAAAAAAATCACTCCTGCATAAAGTATCAGCTCCTTCCAAGTAGTTATACAATAATGAGCAAACAATCATTTGTCTCAATTTTCCCATCTTTTAAGAGTGTTTCAGTTCTCAATTTTAAATTATTCTGTGTAACAAACAAGGAGGTAAGAAACTAGCACTTGCCAACTTCCCAATATAAAACTCAACACTGCCAGACTCTGCCCAAGTCTTGGTGCTAGTTCTGCCTCATACTAACTGGTGACTTTGAAATGAGTTACTCAGCCCTGAAGTCCCTTGGAGATAAGAGGGTTATCTTATATCTATGCAAATTATCATGGCTTTGAGAATTAAATGTATAGAGTGATTAGAACATCACTGAGCACATTCTGTAAACTGGACACAGTGAAGCAGACTGATTCGAGGGAGTTACCCTTTAAAGTTTCTAAATATTAAAAAGCCCAAGACTTAAGAGTCAAGCCTGGATTCAAATTTCTTATTCAATATGCAACTCAGGCAATCCCTCTGAGCATTAGCAGAAAGAGGGTTAATACAGTGAACTCCTAGACTCCCGCAGGTGATAATAATTACAACAATGATAATAGCTGCTTCCCTGTACCCAGTTTACAAATAGCAGCTACACTGATAAAACAAGTTCAGCAAGAGTAGACACACCAGTCATGTTTTTAAGTATTATACTTTTCTTCCTCATTCCAATGAAACCTTGGATTATTTGAGTGTATCTGTACCCCCATCTAAGATGGAGCATATGAAATTTAGAGCTTATAAAAAGCTTCTAAGATAGAAGACTGTACACTAGTGATTTTTTTGGTAAATTTCAAATCCCTAAACAATAACAGTCACCAAGTCGAAGGTCATAGGCCAGATCTAACCTACCATCTGTTTTTCATAGCTCACAAGCTTAGAATATTTTGCATTCTTAAATGGTTGAAAAAAATGTGTACAAGAACATTGTTGTGGCCTGACATTTATAAATTATGTGAAATTGAATTTTTGTGCCCATAAGGTTTATTAGAACAGAACAGAGCCCAAATCATTAATATGGTTGGTGGTGTTTTCACTCTACAACAGCAAAGCTGAGTAGTTTTAACGCAGACAGCACGGCCTGCAAAGCCTAAAACAGATACCATCTCTGGCACTTCATACAAAAAGGCTCCCAACCCTTCAGAGTCTATGCTCTGCCCTCCACTATCCCCCTCTCCAGCCCTTTGGAGGTACTGGGGTGCCCCTGACTGAGCCTCTACACTAAGCTACATCCCCTGCTCTTTGTTTTTGAGATAGGGTCTCACACTATCGCCAAACTCTCCAGGCCAGGCTGGAGCCTGCAATCCTTCCCCAGCCACCCAGAGTGCTGGATTAAAGCCTGCACCACTTTCTCACGACCCTTTAATCTAAACATTTGGCTTCTTTCTTTCCCCTTATCAAATAAACACAATAAAGTATATCTTTCTCCAAGTATTACTAAAGAGATGAGGAAAAGGGAAGAGAAGAGTAAGAACATGAAGAAAAGACATGGAAAGGAGGAAAACAGAAGGTAAGAAATGAAGGAGGGTATTACCCTGATTTATGTTCCTTTGGTGACACTTTTATCAGCCATTAATAATCAAAAGAGACATAGCTTACTTTCTACAATTTCTTCACATCCTAATGACTTTTCTTAGGAAATATAAGACAATGTAGTTTATAATATATCAGCCTATTAAAAAAATGTGTGCCTTTCTTATTCAGTCAGTAATGATGATCAAATGAGATCTTCTAGTGAAAGAGCTCTAAAAGTTAATACAGAATTTATACTTACCATTTAAAAGACATTATTTTCCATTTATTTTATTTCTTTGACTGAATTAATCACAGTCCTACAAATGAAAGAACTGTAGAATAAATCACATCTAAAAGGCCATAATTTATTCCTAGAAAACTGAACAGCAATCTTTAAAAATCATTTAAACAATGAGTTGTGTGCCATGACAGGAATTAACTCTGAAGTACAGTAAAAAATTTAAAATGGATCAACAATAGAGGTATGAATGTGTGATAAAACAATACAAATAGTGATAGGTGCAGCTCTACTGCAGGCATATGGTATCAGATCCAAAATTCTTTCAATACACTGCATGCTTGGAAATTTTCATAATAGACACTGGGAGAAAAATGCTGTTGCTATATTTCAGGAATATTGCAGAAAGAATGGTTTCATCCACAAGTGACAGAAAAGGAACAATCTCAGAGTCAGCAACAGCACTCATACAACACATGCTGACTTCTCATGTAGACTTTGAACCATCCCAAGACCTACCAAAAAGCTGTAACAAAACTGGTAAATCAGAGTTGTAAGCTCATCCTAACTGTACATAGCCACTTAACCTACTCACTACTGAGGTACATACTAGAGAAATACAATATATTTAATGTTCTTATATAAATAGCTTTCCAACAGGGTCAGAAGCACGGACATGGTGGCCAACAATATAGGCAGCAGAGACTGGAAATGATCTCAAAATGAGTAAAAATATAAGAGTAAAAGACAAGCTCTATGAAGAAGCCAAAGAATAGCAGCTGTTAAGTGAATATATGACTGACATTGATCAAGCAGTAAATGATTAGAATTAAAAAGCAGTGACAGAACATGATAACTGAGATGCAACAGAAAAGCTATTGGTGGATAAAATACAGAAAAAGAAGGAGATGAAAGGGAAAGATTAAAAAGAACAGAGTGACTTTTATTCAAGATGAAGTAGAAGGAAAATGTAACAAATTTAAAAGATAGAAACAAGAAATGCCCCGTGGTTTGTATAATGAATCAGTCTATACAGCTAGTACTACTATTGAAT